GTATTTTACGGTGAACCACTTCCTTTCCTGATCTTCTGTGCATGCAACCTGTATTTCATAAGTCTAATTTGTCAGCACTTTTCCATGCTGCCTGACCCTAGCAAAATTTGAAACTTACTGAAAGTAGCCTCCGGCAACCTGGAGATCAACGAAGTCCCACAGCTCCTCACTGAGCCCTTCTGGCCTAGAACCTTTTGACCAAAAGTATCTCAGGAAGAAAGGGATATTTCAGCTTGCACTCTCGTGTAACAGTCCGCCATTGAGGGAAGTCAGAGCAGGAGCCAAGGCAGGAACCATGGAGGATAGCTGCTTACTGCCTCATTCTGGCCTTCCCTCATGCTCAGCCAGCTTTCTTACACAATCCAGGACCACCTGCCCAGGAGTGGCATCACCACAATGAGATGAATCCTTCCACATCAATTAAAAAAAAAAAAATGAAAACAATTCCCACAGACATGGCCATAGGCCGATATGATCTGGAAAATCCCTCAAGTGAGACTTCCCCTTCCTTGTAACTGTTGGTTGTGTCAAACTTACAGTAAAAAACTAACCAGAACATCATTCATCCTGGCCCTTTCCTTCTTAAAAAGTCTTGCCTAATTCCTTAATTAACAGGGCTATCCAGAGAAGTCAGACAGAGCTGAGGGGAGAATTCTGTGAAGCTATACTCCAAAGACTCTGCTTTAAGATGACTCCCCAAAGTGGTTTTCTCCTCACACTGCCCAATCTACTTCAGCTCAGCCTCTCAAGCGTTCTTCCTTACCATATAACCGTTTGGAGTTCTGCTTTTTTACTTCCTGTTAACTCATGGGTGTGTGGGGGGGGTTGTTTTGTTGTTTTGTTTGTTTTGTCATTTTCTCTTCTTTTTAATTTAAAATTTTATGTTTTTAAATTCCATACACAAAGACTGTATTTACATCATTTCCACCATTTCTTTTCCCTCTTTCTACTCTTCCCGTTCCCCAACTCCCTTTCAAATTCATGATCTCTTCTTTATTATTATAAACACATGTATACACACACCAATATATAAATACACCCCTTGAATCTATTTAGTGTTGCTCATATGTGTATAGTTTAAGGCTGACCACTTAGGATGAATAGCCATGGGAGGCTTGTTTCTGGAGACAACTGATTCTCCTTCTCTAAGCAGCCGTTAATTGCCTGTAGCTCTTACCTCAAAAATCCCCAAGCCACAAACAACTTCACAGATGAAATATTGGCACCGTGCACTCTCTCCTTTAGACCCCTGCATTAATAACACAGCATAACAGGAGTTTGCCTGTGAGGGAACACTTATCTCCTCAGCAATAGACTGATGACAAAAACGTGTTTAATTACCTGAAACCACAATGCAGAGCAAAGCCGTTTTCTCCATGTGCAAACCCAGTGTCCACTCCATAGAAGTAACTGCATCTGAGGATTTACTACTAAGACGGAGTGTGTCTAGGACATAGTAGATACTAAATAAGGGTGACCTTTGTTATGAGAGCAGACAACGATGACTGGAAATGTGAGACATAGCACGATAAAACGGAAATTTAACTGGGCTTGAACGGGCTCATTGTGAGCAATTGAACCTATCCTTATGGGCTTTGTAAGGATATAGATTATGTTTCCACGCCACTGAAGGAGGGGGAAAAAGATGAAGAGCCTGGACAAAGCTGAAGTTGGGCACAGCCAAGCTAGTTGTTAGCTTTCCTTCTAGGCATGGCACAACAATTACCTGGCAACAACCCGGGAAGGCCTCGCTTCCTATAAAACAGGCTGTTTGGCTCTCTTCCTCTCTCTCTTCCTCTCCTACTCTCTCTGCCCCTTCTCTTTCTGTTCTCCCTCTCTCTCCCTCTCTCCCTCTCTCCCTTCTCCCTCTCTCCATGTGTTGTTCTTTGCTGGCCTCTTTCTCTCTTTCTCTCTCTCTCTCTCTCTCTCTCTCTCTCTCTCTCTCTCTCTGCCTTTCTCTGTCTCTACTCCCTTCTCAACTCCCCTTCCCATGCTCTAAGGCACCACTCCCAGCGCATCATACCCTGCACAAACAAACATATCCTGGTTCTCTTTTTTATAAAACATAACATTAGTACCCCCAGATTACCCACCAATGCCTTGGAGTGCCTCGACTTACATTCATAAGAACATGGCTGCTGGTCTTAGTCTTCTGTGGGCAGACACATTATCTCTGGATCATCTAAGTAGAGGACTCCTGTGTAATAGCACTATACCAAGCCCAGGCAAGGCAGTAAACTACCCCTTCTCCTGCTTGTCAACAGACCTGGGATAGCCATGAACTCCTTGTTGAAACTGGAGCAGGGGATGGGGATGGGGGTGGCATTGATCAAAATACACAGCATGCATGTAGAAAATTCTCAGACAATAAAGAGCATCATCTTAAAGAATTTGGGATTGTACAAGTATTTCAGGAACACCAGAGAAGTTATCAGAACAGCAAACTGAAGAAGGGGTGCAACACCTTCACCTGGACCCCATACAGAGAAGGATACCCGACAGTGCAATGGTGACAGCCTCACTGACCTGACATCTGAGCACCTAGTCTGTCTGCCCACTTGCCCATTCACCCATCAGAACCTGGTACTTCACCTCACCCTCATGGATATCACTGTTCTGCATCTCCCCTTGGCTGCTCAACCCTGAAGATCCTGTCAACCTGGCTTTGCGGCTTGACTGTGCAGTAGATCTCCAACAAATATGATCTGATCTCACCCCACTGCCGTCCTCACCAAGATTCCCTTTGCATCCATATCAGATTCTTGCTTCTTCCTTTCAGTTAGGTCTCCTGGATTCTTGCTATAGCTTCTTTATCTCGTTTGTAGCTATGCTGTAACATATACATACGTATATATGCATCTATATACTATAGATAGATTTAATGGATGATGTGTGGTGTGTGGCCTAAAAATTAATATTAGTAAAGATCAGGGGGAAAAAAAAGGAAGACTGCCTGGCAAATTTCAGCCAGTAAAACTGGAGCTGCTTGTGAATCTATCATTCATAAAAAATTGTGATATTGTGAAAAGATGCAAACGTGCCTGTTTCTGACACAGCTTGCCCTAAACAGAAGGAAGAACTTTACTTCTGTGGTAGTGGGTGGGTGGGTAAGTGTGGACAAGAAAATTCTGTTATCTGCACTAGGATGAGAGTTAAAACCCTTGGCAGTGGTCGTTTGTTACATTCTAGATCTGCCTTCCCCTGCTAATCATGACATGTGGCTTTTCTGAACACACTTTTCTCATCTAACTCTTATCCATTTAACTTATTTCTGTTTTGTTCTGTTCTGACCATTTCACTAAGGAGTATGTTTTCATTGTTGTACCTTTTTCCTAACGATACCACGTCTCTACAAATTAGCTTTATTCTAAAGGACTTAACTGTTAGCACTTGGTTCTAACAACAAAAGTGTACGTTCACTTAAGAAGCTTAAAAGTCACGTGTGGAGGCGTGTGCATGCTCGTGTGTGCACACATGTGGAGGGGGAGGACAGGGATGGTGCAGTGTTCATGTGGAGGTCAGAAGACAAGAGTCCTGAATTGGCTCTTCTTCTACCATGTGGATCCAGAAAACTGAATAAGGTGATCAGGCTTGTCAGGAAGTGCCTTTACCTACTGAACCATCTGGCCAGCCCTCAGGTTGATTTTTAAGTAATTAAGCTTAGCTCCTGTGACAATTATTACATTTTCTACCTAATTAATATCATTTAGATAGAATAAAATAGCAAAAAAAAAAATGAAAGAAGATTCTTGAAACCAGAATCGTATTTAATATCCACTGTATTAGAACACCTGGCCATAGCCTTTTGATTTTTGTCTTGAAAACATATTTATATTGCTTTAAGACTCAAGCTCCAAAGTCCCTATTTACCTCTCCAGTCTGTAGATTCTCAGTCTCTTCCTTTATAAGTAGTTCTGGAACCATGACTTTAACATGATTCTGCATCTAAAAGCACCCAACTGTGATTCACTTTAAACTCTATTTTGTATTGGCTGTGAAAGACAATCTCAAAATGCACCATCAAAATTAACTCTTGATAACTCAAGAGCTAACATTGAATGTTCGTTCCCTCCTGCTTTTAGTCTCCCAGGCTCAGAAGGCTGCCCGCTCTGCATAGTGTTGGCTTACCCAGTGCCTCCTCATAAGATATGGCGCTGGCCTATAGTGGTTGTATGCTCACCAGATAGGGTGCCCAATATTTGTGATAATATTCCTATACTCTTTCTATACTTTTTCATAGGACAATGTCTTTTTTAAGACAGGGATTCATTATGTACCCCTAGATGGCCTTGAACTCAAAGAGATCCTTCTGCACCTGCTTTACAAGTGCTGGGGTTAAAGGCAAGGCCACCATAGCTGACCCAGGACAGTGTCTTAATTACAGGTAGTCATCACTTTGGAATAACGGTTGAACTTGAAGATTCTAATTGACTCCAGCTAGACTTCGTAAGTCAAAACTTCCACCAGGGCGATCAGGACGTTATTCTGCAACCTTCTCCTGACGAATCTAGTGTTTGTCTCTCTAATTCACTGTTCTATATAAACCTGTGTTTTTGCACATTTTTTTTTAAAAGGTAAAGTTAGTCTCTTCTGCCAACTTTGTAAAATAATGCAGATGGAGGAAGGGCGTACATCATTGCCAGCACTAGCTTGTTAGCCGGATGCAGTCACGCTGAAGCCCCATCACCGAGCCTGTTATTCTCAGAGGCGGCCGAGGTCTGGAATCACGCCCTGGACCCTGGTGCCAAAGCCCAGCTTCTGTCCTGACTGAAGCTAAACACCCTGCCACCTCAAGCGATCCCCTACCCATCGTGACTCCACCCCCCCCCCAAAAATTCTCTGTTGCCATTGGCAACGGCAGGCACCGCCCCAGGTTTGTGTGGCAAGAAAAGGTGGGACTTCCGAATCTCGCAGCCAGTTACGCAGCCCTTTGTGTCACGTGACACTTAGGGCCAATGAGTGTGTAGAACCACGGGCCCACGTGTCTCCGTTCCCATTGGCAACCCGCGGCTTCTAAACAACCTACTTTCCTCAGGCCCCGGGTGCAGGCCTCCCTGTTTCCTGTCTGATCCCGCCACCGCCATGGTGAGTATCCAGGTCGGAAGAGGGCCCAGCCAGGGTGCGGACGGCGAGCGGGGCCTCGCTGGGGAGGGAGGCTGGAATCACCTCGGCCGAGCCGCGGTGAGCGCGTCCTTGCTGAAGCCTTTCTCCGGCCTTGTCACCTCATCCTTAGCTGTGCTCTGGGAAGCCCTGGCCGTCACAGCGGCAGACGTTTGCCATTGTGAAGAATTAACGGGCCGGTTCCAACTTTCTGTGTGAACTTGGTTGATTGTAACTTTCTGAAGCACTTTATTTTACAGCTGATTAAATATCGGTGATATTTTCTCTGTTTGGACTTTGAAGACTATTTGGGTATTACCCTGAGACAGATAAAACTGAGAAGAAAACACCAGTTCATCCAACATCTCAGCATACAATTAATTTAAATAGCTGTATATAGATAAGAGCACGGAAATTAAGTTGATGGAGAGTGGGTGAAGTTATTGAAAATGAAGTTCAAATGGGCTGCTGGCCTATCCCAGCAATCACTTATGGTGTCACTTTGTATACATCTGAACAAAACAGACCATTCCTTAAACAATCCTGAGCTTAGAACTGGTCCTGCTTCTCCTGATTTCAAAAGCGGGGGAAAAAAAAACGATGCTAGTGGCATCACAAAAAAAGTACTTGTTTGTGTTCTTACTCTTTTATGTCAGTTTGATAACACTTGGAAACCAGGTGTAGGTTATTTATTAGTGAGTTGAAAGTTATACAAGGGTTGATACAATGATTTGTCAAACAATGCATGTAAAATAAAAATTTTAAGCAATAAGCCCATCCTTCTTTTTAAAAAATATTTTTATCCTTTAAAGATTTTATACATTCATACAATGTATTTAAAATCCTCCCTCTCCCTTCTTCCAGAATTATCTTGTACTTTCTGTCCTGGTTTTTTTTTTTTTAAGCCTACCTAGTCCAATTTATGCTGCGCATATACTCCTGAGTGTGAGACTATCACTTTCATTGGGCCACACTCTTAAAAGAAACTGTCTCTGTACCCTTTATAAATCATCAACTGTCGGTAACTCCTCAGCTAGAAGTGGAATCTCATAAATCCCTCCCTGTCTCTGCTCGATTGCTGATTGGCCTGACTTTGTGCAGGTAACCACAGTTGTGAGTTCCTAGGCCAGCAGTTAGTCATGTCCAGACGACATTTTTTGTTGTTGCTATTTCAAAACAGGGTTTCTCTGTATAGCCCTGTCTGTCTTGGAACGCTCTCTGTAGACCAGGATGGCCTTGAACTCAGATCCACCTGCCTCTGCCTCTGCC